CATCCAACAACTGTACTATTATCAAAATGTTCAAACTTGTGAGTACTTCAAAGGATTAACCAAGGATACAACTGAATCTAACTCCTCTTAGGTGTTGATCTGCGCTGTTATCGGCATGGCTGCCGCCGTGGGAATTGTTCCTAGCGATGATTTGAAGGCCGAAGTGCTGATCCAAAAGGAGGATGTGCGTGCAGATGGATTTGAAGCCGTGTTGGAGACAAGCAACTCCATCAATCGGAAGGAGAGCGGCGATGAGAAGGGCAATATCCAAGGCGTCTTCAGCTGGGTCTCCCCCGAGGGCGAGAAGATCGAAGTGAGCTATGTGGCCGATGAGAATGGATACCAGCCCAAGAGCGATTCTCTGCCCACTCCTCCCCCAATCCCAGATGAAATTCAGCGTGCTCTGAAATGGATTGCTGCCAACCCACCCGCACCTGGTAGCAAAATCTAAAGCTAAAGCAAAAACTGAAATGATTGATCTGATCCTGCAATAGACATCTATCGAGTATAGTATAAGAATGTATATATTATACAGATATGTCGAAAAAATATAATATTGATTGAAATAATAAAAGACCTGCACCCAATATTAACAAATTTTACAATATTCAGTAGAGAGAGCACTCAAAGACAAATTATTATTTATTGTGTATAACAAAATAAATGTCTGGTCATATTTATTTCTTTATTAGAGATTAGCGCTATTATAAAATATACAACAAGAAATTAAGGCTCAAGCAATAGAAATCAGGGCCCTCGACTTGATCTGGTTTATATAAATTTAAGTTAATTAATGCAAATTTAAGACCTATATGTTCGGTCAAGAAACTTCACTTGCATACCTTGACTTTCGACTGTCTTGATACTATTATATACTTATAAGCAGTGAACGCAATTAGCGAAAAGAGGGAGAGTGTTCAGAATGAGTGTGAGCACAGGAACAGTGAGCATAGGGAGAGCCATATTCCTAATCTTCCAACTGCAATATTCAATGTTGCCCTTACAAACATGATTTTTATACCCTGAACCCATTGAAAATGGAAAATCAGGGTATAATGGTTTTGTGTAAAAGTATGTAACGGGCAAAAGGAACCATCGCAGACCCTATAAAGCATATATATTATTAATCAGGACGACGAGCTGAGTTGATATAGCCTTGTCCGTCTGTATGAGTGCGTCGATCTAAGAAGCTACAAAAGCTAGAAAACTGAAATTTGGCATGCATTTCAAATACTAGAGACTTGTGCTTTAGAATGTACATACATTTGAACATTTTGATTACGTTCTGAAAGTTTCATTAGGATTCTTATAATAATATTGCCAGCACTGCAGCGCAGCCCAAGCTCAATCGCTGCTTACTGCGCAGTTGGCAGAGCGCGTTCTTTTACGTGCGCTTGGATGCATGTATATGTATATGTGCATACAAGAAGTACAGAATGATTAGAATATCAGAGTGGAGGGTTCAGGGTATCTACTAGTCGCGCAGTCTCGACTGAAACCTTCTTACTTTTTAATTAATTTACTAATAATAATCTTTTATTGCGCACTTTAGTGTTTGTATTGGCCTCTTCCGATTTGGCTTAATTTTAATATTCCATATTTCATTTAAATTTTAATATTTAGACATTTTTCTAGACAGTTTATGTGCTCGATCTGTGAGCGCTCGTTTGGCATAATGAAGCCGATGAGCTGTGAGAGACAGTAGCATATAAAATAGGAAAGGAAAACGAAACGCATGCCCTCTTACCTCTGTAGTCTTTACACACATAAACTCTCTTACAGAGGTAATCTATTCCAACTGCCGCACTCGAAAGGATTTCATTTAATTATAATTTATTTATAATAAATTTAAAATTGAAAATAAGTTAAGAATTTAACACAGGCAACTGGAGAAGTAGAATAAATACATATATTCATATTTTTTGCTCATTAAGTATTAAGGGTTTAATGAATAGCGTTGATGGATCGAAAAGTGTGAGGGCCTCAAATTGCAACTGAAATTAATTAATATATGTATACATATGTATATATTCTTATACGCCGAAAGAAGAGACTTTGTAAAATCCGGAGTATTACAACTTAAGCCACCTCAACATACCTAGCAAAAGGAAAATTCACGTTTTATTTATTTAAATAAAAAAAACATATATTCCTCTCTTAAGACCCCTTTCAAGTGATCTCAATAGCAATTAGGCAATCCAGAGTTGGAAGTACTTTCTTTTTAGAAATTCTCAAAATATATATTCTTTTGAGTTGAAACAAGTTTCAGAAAGATGAACTCGTTCTCTTTAGACGTCATAAAAGCATTCGCATTAGTAGGCGGTTATTGCCTATACTGTTACTGTCTGTATAAGCCCAAAATGCGTATGCAATGATGTAGATTATTGCATAAGATTGAAATTCAGTCACATTAATTGAAATTACCAAAACGTTATGATTCTACAGGTAGAATATGCTGCAGAGCAAGCTGTATAAAAGGCTGAGCACATCTGGAGTGAGGCATCAGTCAAAGCTTGTCACGACAAACAGCAACTGCAACAACAATTATCAAAATGTTCAAACTAGTGAGTACCCTCTAAAGGATGGCAAGGATAATCAGTGATAAAACTGAACTGAATTCCTTTCAGGTGTTGATCTGCGCTGTTATCGGCATGGCCGTCGCTTTGCCAGTCAGTGATGAGTCGAAGGCTCAGGTCATCAGCCGCAAGGACGATGTGCGCGCCGATGGCTTCGATGCCTCCTTGGAGACCGACAACAAGATCTCTCGCGCCGAGAGCGGCGATGAGAAGGGCAACATCCACGGCAGCTTCAGCTGGATCTCCCCCGAGGGCGAACTGATCGAGGTCAAGTATGTGGCCGATGAGAACGGATACCAGCCCGTCAGTGCCAGTCTGCCCGTTGCTCCCCCAATCCCAGAGGCCATCCAGCGCTCTCTGGAATGGATTG